TCTACCGTATTTGCTTGCCTGTCTCACACCCTGACCTTGGCTTGTTTCCCAGATCTTCTGTCTCCTGCCATCTGTACTCTGCATACAGAGGTGTTGTCTGTATCATCAGCTGGGGGCCGTGACCTGGTTCCAGCTTTTTGCAAGTCCATCCACACCATTAGGGGCCCTGGTGAAGAAGCAGGCTTGGGCTTAGACTCTGCGCCATGGGAAACCCTGAGCTGGCGGTCTGCAAGGGCTCACTACCACAGAAACCTGACATTAAAAAATATCTATCCTCAAACAGGAGTTACAGGGTGTTATTTACTAAAGCTGGAGAGTGCAAACTTTGGTGCAACTGTGCATAAAAACCAATTGGCTTCCAGGTTTTATGGCTAAAGCTTAACTGAACAAGCTGCATCAGTTTCTGAGTGCTCCAGTTTTAGTAAATCCACCATTCACCCCCCAGAGTGTCCAGCACCTCACATTTCCTACTACATCCGTAATGAAACCCCCTAAAAGTAAACCAAATACATATGAATGTGTATCAAACCCCCATTAAAGAAGAAAGGGGGAAAGAAATCACCTCTAGGGCCATATAGACTCTTCATGTTCATACTCCATCCTCACATACTACCAACGTATTAAAATAATAAAGTGCCACTTGTTCTAAAAATAAACAGAACCCAGAACAGAATTAAATTTAGCATATCAGATTGGCATCTTCCACATACCAGTCCCAGAAAGCAATCAGTGGCTCGCACTGAACAATGCATTGCATCCAAAAAAATAGGATGCTGGCATTCAGTAAGGCCCCACATTAGGTCTTTTATGGGTGCCTTTATCCCCCCATCCACCCTGATGCCCAGAACTTGAAGTACAGGTTAGGGAGCTCTTTTAAGGTACTTTATTTTTGCCTAGGAAAATGGCTATATTAATATGGCTTTTTAACATGGTGCTTGAGAACAAACAGGGTTAATGTGTGGCACAAAGAGATATACTTAGTTGCGTGCTAGCTCAAAAAGAAAAGTACAGTTCAGTTTCCGTTGCTTGAGGAAAAGAACACAGTATTCAGGAAGACTGTGTCAAGGTTATCTTTTTTGCCTTTTTGGCTTGTGTTTGGCTTTGTACTTCAGAGTGTAGAAACCATTCTGTTGTAGTAATCGTTTGTTTTAAATACAAAAAGTGACAAGGGCTAAAAAATGTCTCAACCGTAGTGTGTCTTGTTCACACTTGATCTTTGTGAAACACAAATCTATATAACATATTAAATGTACAATTTGTGCTGAATATGGCTCATATTTGATGGTATGTCACATCTTCTACTTTTTTCTATAGCTGTTAAACTGTGTTGGGGAATACATACAGTATAGGTTTGTGTAAGCACACACGAGAGCCCTCCGTAGGCAGCGGCTTGCTATGGGGCTGCTCTGTGCAAAACCATTGCCCGGAGCAGGTAAGTACTGTATAACATGTTTTATTTAAAAATTCCCTTTTTAATATCCCTTTAATTTCGTGCATGCATACATTGGTTCAGCCTGGAGTATCGTGTACATGATGTACTGCTGTGGAAGCGGACAATTGCTGTAGTACTCAGCGCTACTAGAGTTAATGCTGCCATCTTATGGGCTTTGGACCAAGCAGCTGCCCCACTTCACACTGAGGACAGGGGTCAGTAACTTGGCACTGTCTCCATTCATAGAATTCCTCGTATATTTTGGATACAAGACATTCTCTAATTGGATGAGATGGAGAAGCAAGGGTGTTCATGGTCTCCACCTTGTCCCAAGTGGAGACATTGCTCTATTCACATGGGCACCCTCCATTCCATCTTAGAAGGGGATCCAAAGACTGCACCCTGCTGAATTGGAATAATATGTAAACCACTGTCACATCTGAATTGGGGAAAAATGTATCCATGTAATACCTATGGTTGGCCGAATGTATATGGATATGTGGCAGTTCATGTCTATTTACATCATTTCAGGTCCACAAAGGCAGAGCTGGACACAAACATTGCATTCAGTCCAATGACAATAAACTGACCTGGATGAAAATTGACAAACATACTTTACACCTAGCCTTGCATAGTGATACATTGTAGTCTGTTTTTGAGTCATCTAATCAAGGATCAAAAAGGGACTGACTGAAACACTCATGTGAAAGAGACCTTTAAAGGGTTAGTTTCCCTTTACAAAAAAAATTATCTATGTAGATAAAAACAAAATGTGCAGCTATCCCTAAAGTTGAATAATGCCCTTGCTGTAGGTGTAGGCCATTTACAGAACACGTGAAGCTTGACCTAATAACTCCCTCAACATTGCTTAGAGAGGCCCAGCTATTACTGTTCATTGTCGCCATCACCAGGAGTGAGCTTTTAAAGTGGTATTAAACTCAAAAGCAAACCTTTATTATATTGCAACTTACCAATTCTTAGATGTGGCTGCATTCATTTTCTTTTTAGGCTTTCTTTCCTTTTTCACCTGGTGATCCAGCCAGTGAGTCAGTTATTTTTCAACAGAACAATCTCTCCTGCAAATGTATGTTACGAGTGTTGAGACAACCCATTTACCACTTACATGGCTTCTTACAATGATCACAATTATTAATTTATTTGTATCAAACTTTTATTCCAATAGAAAAAAACTGTTGCTGTAGGTTCTTGTGTAACTGCAGCGTGAGCTGCAGTATGGTTCCAGTTTGTTAATGTATTTAACACCTTGGCACTAAGCGTATGCAAATATGCGGCCCCACTGAAATGGGCTTTTTTTTTTTTTTCCCATGGGGCCGCATATTTATGCGTCTATTTTAGTGCTGAGAGAGCGCCGCATGGCATGCTCCCAGCACAGAGACCAGGATCTCACTGACGTTTGGGACCCTGAACTCCCTATTCTGGTCACCTGATCGCTGTGATAATCTCTGAATTATCACAGCGGGATTAAAATTATATATATTTTTTTTTTAATTAGTTTGTTTTAGGTAGGATAAAAAGAAAATGTGCACTATTGTTTGTGGATTGTACTACAGGTACAGACTACAAATAACATACACACGCACTATATTGCCAAAAGTATTGGGACGCCTGCCTTTACACGCCATGAACTTTAATGTCTTCCCAGTCTTAGTCTGTAGGGTTCAATATTGAGTTGGCCCATCCTTTGCAGCTATAACAGCTTCAGCTGTTCTGGGAAGACTGTCCACAAGGTTTAGGAGTGTGTCTCCCAAACATTGGGTCCGCGGGCCAGAAATGACACAAGGCGCCCAAAAGTGATGTCACAGTGCTGGCGGAAGGACCTAAAGGGATGCTGGAGTGAGGGAAATGAAACCACTGAAAACAAACACCCAAAAATGAAAAGCCTTTTCATTTTTGGGGTTTGTTTTCAGACGGCTCTTGAAGACGTTCAACGGTGTCCTTTGAGTGTCATTTCTGACCCATGGACCTGATGGTCGAGGGACCACAGAGGCTGTTGGAGGTTCAGCAGCTGTTTTTGTGTTTGCAATGTCCCTATCTGTTGGTCATATGTCAAAAGTCTAGCATTCTTAAAGATACACTATAATACCTGCCTCTACAGGGACATGAACTTCAATGGCAACCCAGTGGGGAGCATGAAATTGTCCAAAATGTCTTGGTATGCTGACACCTTAAGTGGTCCCTTCACTGGAACTAAGGGGCCAAGCCCAACTCCTGAAAAACAACCCCACACCATAATCCCCCCCTCCACCAAACTTTACACTTTGCACAATGCAGTCAGGCAAGTACCATTCTCCTGGCAACCCCCAAACCCAGACACGTCCACTGGATTGCTAGACAGTAGCGTGATTTGTCGCTCCAGAGAATACATCTCCACTGCTCTATATTCCAGTGACAGTGTGCTGTACACCACTGCATCCCACGCTTTGCATTGCACTTGGTGATGTAAGGCTTGGATACAGCTGCTCGGCCCCAGAAACTCATTCCATGCAGATCTCTGCACACTGTTATTGTGCTAATCTGAAGGCCACACAAAGTTTGGAGGTCTAGCTATTGACTGTGCAGACAGTTGGTGACTTCATGCTCCAACCCCGCTCTATCATTTTACCTGGCCTACCACTTTGTGTCTAAGTTGCTGTTGTTCCCAGTTGCTTCCACTTTGTTATAATACCACAAACAATTGACCAGGGTATATTTAGCAGCAAGAAAATTTCACAGATGGACTTATTTACAGGTGGCAACCTATGACGGTACCACGCTTGAATTCACAGAGCTCCTGAGAGCGGGCCATTCTTTCACAAATGTTTGTAGAAGCAGTTTACATACCTAGGTGCTTGATTTTTTACACTTTTGGCCATATAGGTGATTGAAACACCTGAATCCAATGATTTGGAGAGGCGCCCCATTACTTTTGTCAATATAGTGTGTTACACATTTAGCAGAATACTTTTTTACAAATATCCTGTTTTTGAGGTTTAAATAATTTTTTTCATAAATTACCTTCATTGCTTAAACACTTTGGTTAATAAACCACTACATAAAATATAGTGTTATGTCTTTTTAAATATACATTTAAAGAGCAACTCCACTTTTATTGAGAGAAAAAAAAATTATCCCTGGATGATCAATGTACATTACAAGGATTTTAACAAATTTTGTTGCAGATCTGTGTTTTAAGCTCTGAAGAGAAAGCTCTTTGTTAATGTGCAGAGTGAATCTGAATGGGATGATTCACTTGCTGAGTTCTAATGAGCAAAGCTACTGTCTGCATCCCTTTAGGTGTGATTAAGCCTTTGGGAGTATCTCACCAAAAATTAAATTGCCAGACAGAGAAGCGTGATTGGTCACTCCAGAGAACACATCTCCGCTGCTCTAGAGTCCAGTGGCAGCGTGCTTTACACCACTGCATCCGACGCTTTGCATTGCACTTGGTGATGTAAGGCTTGGATGCAGCTGCTCGGCCATGGAAACCCTTTCTATGAAACGCTCTATGCACTGTTGTTGTGCTAATCTGATGGCCACACAAAGTTTGGAACTCTTTAGCTATTTACTGTGCAGACAGTTGGCGACTTCTGCGCACTGTGCGCTTCAGTATACTATGACCCCGCTCTGTCATTTTATGTGGCCTACCACTTCATGGTTGAGTTGCTGTTATTCCCAGTTGCTTCCACTTTGTTATAATACCACTAACAGTTGACCATGGAGTATTTAATAGTAAGTAAATTTCATGGACTTATTGCACAGGTGGTGACCTATCACAGTATCACACTTGAATTCACTGAGCTCTGTGTGACCCATTTTTTCACAAATGTTTGTAGAAGCAGTCTACATTCCTGGGTGCTTGATATTATACACCTGTGGCCATGGAGGTGATTGGAACACCTGAATCCAATGATTTGAAGGGGTGTCCCAATACTTTTGGCAATATAGTGTATGTTATATTGCTGTGATTGTCAGGAGCAGGAGAATGTTGTGGGGGGTTCTTTGATGGTAGGTTATGGTAGTAAGATATATACATCTAAATTTTAAAATATAATTTTTTTTCTATTTTCAGCCATTTTTCCTTTGACAAAATAAAATCAGGAGATATCTGTTACCATTTACCACCAAATGAAAGCCCAATTTGTCCTGAGAAAAAACAAGGTAGAATCCACCTGGATGCACAAAGTAGTTGTGGTGATATGTATGGCTTTACTAACACGTCAAAGTTGCTAAATTGTGCATAGGCATTGACATTTGATTAAACTTAGGTATGAAGGAATTAAATCTGCTAGTACATCTAAAACTCCCCTACCCCCAGACTAACATTGCTGCTGTCTCCTGTGCTCCTTCATCCAGAGTGGGGGTACTGTAATGTGTTACTGGCCAGATCATCAAGTGAAAACGGGGGGAAAGCCTTAAAAAGACAACTAATGTACCAATCTAATGATTGGTAAGTTGCAAAATATGAAATTTTTGGTTTTGGGTTTAACCATTAGCCGCCTGGCCAATGGCCGTTTGGCGGCTTCAGAAGTGTCTCTGCACTCCGGGTGCACGCCATTTGGCGTGCTCCCGCACATGCGCAGTTTGCGCTAATGCAGAGCGGCGCAGCAGTGCGATCTGTCACCGGCCTTGCACCTCGGACACGGCCGATGACAGATCCGAGTACCGGCTCCCGTTGCTGGTACCATGTGACCTGCTGTGACCAATCACAGCAGGTCACATGACAGTTGTATACAATGGATGGCTTCATTCATGATGCCATCCATTGTATACTAGTGCCTAGCTGTGAATGGTCACAGCTAATCACATGCACGTCATGTGATTAGCTGTGACCAAATCACAGCTAAGCACAAAAAAAAAAAAGCTGAATGAATCAATGTCATTCAGGTAAATGCTTGCTTATAGCAAAGTAATTCTTTGCTATAAGCAAATTGTGTAAAAAAAAAAAAAAAAAAAAAAAATACTGATCACTTCCCAAAGTAGTACAATGTTACTATGGTAACATTGTACTACTTTGGTCATAGTAAAATATGAAAAAAAAAAATTAAAAAAAGTAATAAAAAATTAAATATAATAAAAATATATATATATTTTTTTTTTTTTTTCATACTGTCACCAGTCAGTGTCCCTGTTCACCGCCATGCCAGTTATATGATGACGCTGTACTGCACTGGTGACAGTATGTAAAAAAAAAAAAATAGTGAAAATTATTTTTTTAATTTTTTCATTTTCCAAAAAATTATGACAAAAAAAATACAACTTCAAAAAACTCGCCATGCCTCTTATGAAGTACGTCGGACTGTCTACTCTGCAAAAAGGGGTCATTTGGGGATATCTGTACTATTCTGACATTCTTGGACCTCAAGAAATTAGAATGGCTGTCAGTACTTCAGGATTGATCAATATTCAGATCTATACCATAGTTTGTGAACTCTATAACTTTCCTACAAACTAAAAAATACATCCTAATTTGGGTTATTTTCACCAAAGACATGTAGCAGAATACATCTCGGCCTAAATTTATGAAGAACAATTATTTATTTGTAAACTTTTATAACAGAAACAAAGAAAAATGTGTTTTTTTTTCAAAATTTTGGGTATTTTTTTGTTAATTTAGCAAAAAATAAAAACCCCAGTGGTGATTAAATACCACCAAAAGAAAGCTCTAGTTGTGTGAAGAAACTGATAAAATTTTAGTTTGGGTACAGTGTTGTATGACCGCGCAATTGTCATTCAAATTGTGAGAGCGCTGAAACCTGAAAAATGGCCTGGGCAGGAAAGTGTAAAATTGCACGGTATTGAAACGGTTAATAAAGCTTAAAATAGGAGTCCAGAGCTACTGTATCAGGGGAAACAGCATGTGAGGTGGCTCTGAATTAGAGAAAGAGCTCACTCCTGTGATGGTGAAGGTGAGCAGTAATAGCTGGGCCCCTCTTAGCAATATCCTGGCAACTTCCTGGGAGTTTTTAGGTCAGATCTGTAAATGGCACACACTTATAGAAAGAGCATTATTCAATTCAGTGCAAAGTTGCACGGCCTATTTTCATATACAGACATCCTTTATCTGCAGAAGCGGTTTTTGGTAAAGGTGAGCTATGCCTTTGAAGCACAACACAAATGAAGAAATTCTAATAGACTGTAACCTCCCTGTATGCTGTAGCAAGTAGGCAGGCTTGGGATGTACAGCATGGTAATTCATGCAATCAATTTCAACAAAATACTTTTTTTTTTTCCTTTCTTTCCTTCCTTTTTTTCCCTTTACTTTCCTTTTTCTCTAATTCGACTCCATTTTGATAAGTTTTTTTTTTTGGAACATGTAAAATTGTTAAACGAGCAAGATAATCTTGGAGAACTAAAAAATATTACCGATCTGCCCAAATATTTACAGGAGAAGGGCCAAATAGGTTTGTGAGTACATGACTTTAAGCTGGAAACTATTGAAAAAAAAAAAACTGGCTGGTGGTGGTTTAAGGCTGTAAGAGGGGAATGGATTATGAAGAAGCCTTGGAAGACTTCCAGTTAAACAATCCTAAAATAGAATATGAACTTCAGTGAAATAATCAGAAGAGCAAATCCAAACAAAGACTATGGTTGGAGGTAATTTTAAATATATACTGTTTTATGGAAACATTTGGAAGCAATAGCACGTACTGTGAATTGACTTCTAAAATATGAATTAATTTAGGACTTAAAGGGTAACTTCACTTTCATGGGAAAAAATATAGCAAATATAAAAAAATATAGCATATACAATTGCTATATTTTGATTTAATGCTATAATTTTTTTACATCTATAAAATCTTATGGATCTCTTTGTTACATTAAATATGTAAACCCAAAATTTCATATTCCTCATGTGTGACTGCTGTACCATGTACTCATATGAAACATATCCTGTTCTCTTTGTATTGCTTCCTTTGTCTGAAATCCCTGGTATTTCTGCCACTCCCTCTGCTTTCCTATTAAAGCTGTAATAAACGCTCCAAAAAAAAAAGGAAAACCGTTTTCCCCTGCAAAGCAATGTCAAACTGTGCTAGTATGCATCATACACTAGCACATTATGTGAAACAGACCTTAAAACAAGGCCCTCCAGCAGCGCAATGTCTTCACTCAGTCATTCTTCTGGGCTCGTGATGACGACACTCCCGCACATGCGCGGACGTCACTTTTTACTGCACACAGCACTGAAGGAACAGCACGAACATTATGTTCCTTCAGAGCGCATGTGCCAGTGCTCTGAACAGGTAAATAGAGGATATGTGATCACCTATAAAAAAGGAGGGGGAAAGTGTTTTATTACGTTTTTTTTTCTTACATCACATACAGTTCAGTCTGTACATATAAAATCAAATTAAAACACCTAAACGAAAACCTGGGCAGTGCATAAATAAATCTTCAATGGTGCCAACAATTTGTTATCTTCCACATATTCTGCCATTAATCTTCAGTGATGCACTCCACCCAAAACTGCTAATTCTTTGTACATCCCCTACTGTGAGCTCACTGCAAAAAACACCCAAGGTATGCCCTCACCTTAATGAATGGGACATACTAATTAACAGGTCCAAAAAATGCTCTTCCCCACCTTAGATTATTCACCAAGTCCTTCATATCAATGGTGCAGTGATCCTGATGAAGTCACGAGACACATACATGGAGCTAAAGGTGATGTCACAACTCTACCAGAGGTGCCTCTGGGAAGCGATTCAGGAAATGATAAAAACGAGCAATCAAAGCAAGTTCTGGCAAAATGTTTCATTTGAGGTTTGCTGGATACTGTGTTAAGGGCTTCTAGGGCTCATGTACACTGCAGCTGCTAAACGGACGTTTAGAAGCAGTTGAGCGTTTTTTTTCAGCAGCCCCTGAACTCTCCTTTTATGTTTTCCTATGTATCCATGTACACATAGTTGTTTACAGGCAGTTAAGGTTACAGGCATTTTCTTGAAAGCACAAAAATCGCATTCACGAGTAGAGCTTACCGGCGTTCAAACGCTTGTAAACGTGTTATGCGCGTTTGCGTTTAGATGCTTTTTTTTTTTTGGCTGGTCCATATCCAGATGCTGTCCAGAGCCTTTTTTCTTCATCAAAAATGCATGCACAGCATTTTCCATGTATTCAAATGGATGAAGGAAAAAATGGTAGAACATGCTGAATTATGCTCATGATGGGATCCATAGTGAATACAACCAGAAAAGACAGGGAATCTCAAAACATATTGCTCTCTGCTTCTGCTCTCCCTATTTCTCTCAAAATGTCTGAAATAGTTAATTATTTACTATTTTTCAGTGCATTTAGAAGCATTTTTAAAAGATAACCTCAGGAGACCCTCCCAAATGCCCAGAATGCAAACGTGCATAAAAGCTGTAGGTAAATGCAGTTAACCTGATGTTTTCAACCTACGTTTTCTAGCAGTCAGTTTCCAGCGGTCAAAAGAGTTTTTCAAATGCCCCGTGTACATAAGCCCCTAATCTTGTGTTTTAATAAATGCTTGTCAAAGGGGAATGTACTATGAGTATCTCCGCTGTTTTTTTGGTGACTTCCAATATGAAGTCACATTAAAGGAGTTTGTGTTTTACACCAGGTGGGAAAGAGTGCTTTGAAATACTCATTGCCACACAGGAGCAAAAAATATATTTTTCTTATAAATTGCCTTTCCTTTTTGATCTACAGCATTTTCATTTTCTGTAAAATTCAATGCAATATGGCAACCTAGAGGCTTTTTGTACACAGTGAGTGTACAGAACTTCCTCAGAAATGTAATTTCTTGCTTGTGTGATCGGCTCACCGATTTTCCTGGAAGTCTACACTAAGATACAAGTCCGGTTTTAGACATCATCTAGAACAAAAGTTTAATTTTTGGTGAGATACTCCCAAAGGCTTAATCACACCTAAAGGGATGCAGACTGTAGCTTTGCTCATTAGAACATAGCAAGTGCATCCTCTGATAATGAAAATGTCCCTTCCATTCAGATTCACTCTGCACAATAACATAATAAAACAAAGATCATTCTCTTCAGAGCTTAAAACACAGATCTGCAATAAAATTTGTTAAAATCCTTGCAATGTACATTGATCACCCAGGGATATTTTTTTTTTACTCAGCAAAAGTGGAGTTGCTCTTTAAATGTATATTTAAAAAGACATAACTAACACTATATTTTATGCAGTGGCACAGTGGGGATCGAACGTTTGGGCACCCCAGCTAAAAATTTGTATTCATGTGCATAAAGAAGCCAAGAAAAGATGGAAAAATCTCCAAAAGGCATCAAATTACAGATTAGACATTCTTATAATATGTCAACAAAAGTTAGATTTTATTTCCATCATTTACACTTTCAAAATAACAGAAAACAAAAAAATGGTATCTGCAAAAGTTTGGGCACCCTGCAGAGTTAATATATTGTACTGCCCCCTTTGGCAAGTATCACAGCTTGCAAACGCTTTTTGTAGCCAGCCAAGAGTCTTTCAATTCTTGTTTGAGGTATCTTTGCCCATTCTTCCTTACAAAAGTCTTCCAGTTCTTTGAGATTTCTGGGCTGTCTGTCACGCACTGCTCTTTTAAGGTCTATCCATAGATTTTCAATTATGTTGAGGTCAGGAGATTGTGAAGGCCATGGCAAAACCTTCAGTTTACGCCTCTTAATGTAATCCCCCGTGGATTTCGAGGTGTGTTTAGGATCATTATCCATTTGAAGAAGCCATCCTCTCTTTAACTTCAGCTTTTTCACAGATAGCATCAAGTTACCATCCAAAATTTGCTGAAATTTTATTAAATCCATTTTTTCCTTCTACTCGTGAGATGTTCCCTGTGCCACTGGCTGCAACACAACCCCAAAGCATGATTGATCCAACCCCATGCTTAACAGTTGGACATAGGTTCTTTTCATTAAATTCTGTGCCCTTCTTCTCTAAACGTACCTTTGCTCATTCCGGCCAAAAAGTTCAATTTTAACCTCATCGGTCCACAGAACTTGTTTCCAAAATGCATCAGGCTTGTCTATATGTTCATTTGCAAAGTTCAAGCGATGATTTTTGTGGTGAGGACGTAGAAGAGGTTTTCTTCTGATGACTCTTCCATGAAGACCATATTTGTACAAGTATCTCTTTATAGCGGAATAGTGTACCACAACTCCAGTGTCTGCCAGATCTTTCTGGAGGGATCGTGCAGTCAAACGTGGGTTTTGAATTGTTTTTCTCACAATCCTGCGAGCTGTTCTGTCTGATTATTTTTCTTGATCTTCCAGATCTTGCTTTAACTTCCACTGTTCCTGATGACTGCCATTTCTTAATTACATTCCGAACAGAGGATATTGACATCTATTGTAATACACTATATTGCCAGTAGTATTGGGACACCTTTCCAAATCATTGGATTCAGGTGTTCCAATCACCTCTGTGGCCAAAAGTGTAAAACATCAAGCACCTAGCCATGTAAACTGCTTCTATAAACATTTGTGAAAGAATGGGTCGCTCTCAGGAGCTCAGTGAATTCAAGCATGGTACTGGGATAGGTTGCCACCTGTGCAGTAAGTCCATCTGTGAAATTTCCTTGCTACTAAATATTCTGCAGTCAATTGTTAGTGGTATTATAACAAAGTGGAAGCAACTGGGAACAACAGCAACTCAGCCATGAAGTGGTAGGCCACGTAAAATGACAGAGTGTGGTCGGCGCATGATGAAGGGCACAGTGCGCAGAAGTCGCCAACTGTCTACACAGTCAATAGCTAAAGACCTCCAAACTTTGTGTGGCCTTCAGATTAGCGCAACAACAGTGTGTAGAGATCTGCATGGAATGGGTTTCTGGAGCCAAGCAGCTGCATCCAAGCACATCACCAAGTGCAATGCAAAGCATCGGATGCAGTGGTGTACAGCACGCCGCTACTGGACTCTAGAGCAGCGGAAACGTGTTCTCTGCAGTGACAAATCACGCTTCTCTGACAATCCAATGGACGGGTCTGGGTTTGGCAGTTGCCAGGAGAACGGTACTTGCCTGACTGCATTGTGCCAAGTGTAAAGTTTGGTGGAGGGGGGATTATGGTGTGGGATTGTTTTTCAGGGGTTGGGCTTGGCCCCTTAGTTCCAGTGAAGGGAACTCTTAAGGCATCAGCATACCAAGACATTTTGGACAATTTCATGCTCCCAACTTTGTGGAAACCACTTGAGATGGCCCCTTCCTGTTCCAACATGACTGTGCACCAGTGCACAAAGCAAGGTCCATAAAGACATGGATGAGCGAGTTTGAGGTGAAGAAACTTGACCGACCTGCACAGAGTCCTGACCTCAACCCTATAGAACACCTTTGGGCTGAATTAGAGCAGCATTCTCATCTGACATTAGTGCCTGACCTCACAAATGCACTTCTGGAAGAATGGTCAAACATCCCCATAGACACACTCCTAACCCTTGTGGACAGCCTTCCCAGAACAGTTGAAGCTGTTATAGCTGCAAAGGGTGAGCCAACTCAATATTTAATCCTACAGACTAAGACTGGGATGCCATTAAATTTCATATGTGTGTAAAGGCATGTGTCCCAATACTTTTCACAATATAGTGTATGTTTCGGTTAATTCATCTATAGGTTTTAGTTGACTTACTCTGCCATTTTCAAAAAAAAATTATGATTTTTGTTAGCAGTTCTTTACAACAAAATCCAGTTGAATTTTTGTGTGGCTTGGTAAAAAAAATAGTTCAGAGATGCTCACGAAAAAAAAATTTGTTTTAAATGTAGATTTTGAAGCATTAAAAAAGGCCAAATATAAGACTTGCCCCAGAATCGGTCCATTTCCAAGCAGATAGTTTACCCTACAAGACCATGCCATAACCATATTGATAACATCTGTGATCATGACTTGATATGAAAATGATTGAAATGGAGCATTGTTAATAGAATGTCACAATGAACCTCTGCTCTCACAAAAATCCTTGTCTCAAGTTTGCTAAGGACCAACTGGATGTGCCACAGCACTACTAAAATAATATTGTGATTGTTTTAAACACATGTATTTTGTTTGGAGAAAAAATATTGCATACAAAGTCTTGCATACAAAACCTTGTCCCATTTGCAACACAAGTTGGAGGCAACTTAAGGGTGTGGATATACTGTGCAGTCTAAACAACTTACAGCCATCAAGGGATTAATTCCTCCCTTCATGAGGTCACTGTGTGCTCCAGGATTTTGATGCAGACCTGCTGCTTGTAATCAGAACAGAAGTTCCTCCTGTGGGATGAAGTGAGTTTATTGCAGAAATAGACTTATGGATTAGAATAGGTTAGTATTAGTTTTACTTTAGGATAACATAAACAAGGCAAGTATGAAACCGGTACCAAGGCTGAGGAGCACTTACTCCTGTAGCCAGGGTCAGGTGATGGACAGGGCTGTTCTATCCAAAATGAATAAACAGAAGAAGGGAAAGACCGGGCACAACAATCCTAAGTATGCTGCAAACTTGTAATGGTAGTAAGCAGTAATGGGCTGAACAACCCATGTTCAGTTCGCGGTTGAATGTTCAAACCTAATGAATGTTCAACCACAAACTTCAAACTCAATGCAAGTCTATGGGACTTGAACTTGCAAATTCAAAAGTGCCCATTTTGAAGGCTTATATGCAAGTTGTTGCACATAAAAGGTGTATTGGGACTTGGGTACTGCCCTGAGGGACATGAATCGGTGAAAAAAAAGGGGCAGTAATTTTCCATTGTTTGAAGTAAAAAAAAAAGAAAGAAAATGAAAAATTATTTTAAATATCATGCCTGGGGTGGTCCTCTTTAAACTACCTGCAAAGTTGCATATTTGTACAATATATACAACCCACTGCAGCAGAACTGACTTTTTGTTTTTTTTAAATGACATTTTTATTAAAAAAAACACACAGCATGGGGTCCACCCCTAATCCATACCAGACCCTTTAGGTCTGGTAGGGAGGTTAGGAGGGATCCCAGAGTAAAGAAAACTTTTTTAAAGTGCATGGGGTTCCCCCTAAAAGTCATACCAGGCCCTTTAGGCCTGGTAGGGCGTTTTATGGGAACCCCACCTCCCAAAAAATGGGAAAAGTGTGTTGGGTTTCCCCTAACAGCCCTACCAGGCCCCTTTTAGGCCTGGTAGGATGTTTTAAACGGAATTCCACCCCAAAAAAATGGGGAAAAAAGTGAGGGCCTCCCCCAAATTCCTACCAGACCCTTGATCCGAGCACAGGCCTGGCAAGGCAGGAAAGGTGGGGGATGATCAAGCCCCCCCCTCTCCACGCAGCTTAGCAGACCATGTGCCCTTGGTATGGTACTGATGGGGACAAGGACCTCTTCCCCACAACCCTGGCCCGGTGGTTGTCAATCATTGGGTCCCGGCCAGTGATTCCCCGCCGGTACCTGGAGTTTGCCGAGTATCACTGACGGGGGAGAGACCTGTGTATAAACACAGATCCCTCCTATGTCAGCTCCTGCCCACTGCTTTGTATTGCTCTGCATAGCCTAAATTTATGATGAAATTTGATTTTTAAATTTTTTTTACTGGACATGTTTAATAGGAAAAAGTCAAAAATATAGTTCTTCTTTTTTCAAAATTGTCGGTCTTTTTTGTTTTTAGTGCAAAAAATTTAAACCGCACAGGTGATCAAATATCACCAAAAAAAAAGCTCTATTTGTGGCAAAAAAGGATGTAAATGTAATTTGGGTGCAGCGTTGCTTGACCGCGTAATTGTCAAAGTAAAGGAGCGTCATATCGCAAAAATGGCCTGGTCAGGAAGGGGGGTAAATCCTCTGGAGGGCAAGTGGTTAATTTAACAAAAAAAAACCCAACAGTTTTGACACGTCCTTTTAATAAAAAAAAAAGCTAGCTCTGTCCAGTTATGCTGTGATTGGCCAAAGCATTGCACCTGACTGTGGTCAGGTGCATTGCCTCGGCCAATCATGGCTCTCACAATGCACTGTGAGAGTACAGTGCATTCTGGGGTGTGGCTGATGTTCGGCGAACACACGAACAGCTGATGTTCAAGTCAAACTTACATTTGACTCGAACATTAAGCCCATCACTAGTAAGGCTGTTCAATTTACTGTTCAAGAGAAGACCACCAATTGTTCTTTCCAATTTGACAAAAGTTACTTCACTGCTCTCCATGGCCAGTTGCGGAACAGAGGAGGACCACCATCAAGAGCTGACTAGGAGAGATAATGAGACAGCAGAATTTCAATCAGTTTATGGACTCCCCCTGCTTGACAGAAGTCAGTTGTTTCATTGACTTCTGTTCAATGGTCATGTTGGAAAATAACCATTGATTATTCTGACAGAATACAATGTCCCAAGGGAAGGAGGAGGTTGTTGAGAGAGTACTTTTATTTCCACCTTGTTTGTGTGTGTAGAGGAACATGTTAGGTTTTTTATTTTGTTTTTTTGGGGGGTTTTTGTTCAAACAAAAAATACCAGCCATGTATGGCCAGCTATACTCAGAAACACACTATAGACACTGGATTTAACATTAGAGCAAGGTTAGGTCAGAAATGGCAGGCTACATGCAAATCAAATCAATTTGTTCATGTCCATGTACTTTTAGCAATGAAGGAACAGAAGCGAATTTGCTGAGTTGAGTGAAAGTTCTTCTGTTTTATTTCTACTTTGATGCAACATCTGAATGTTCTGCTTCTCAACCATGGGTACGGAGCCATCAGAAATATGCTGTACCCTTTCTTAATTAACTACTACACACTTAGTATCATCAATACTTTATTGGCAGTTCCCACCTCTTTTATCAAAATCACCACCTTCAATCACCAAGCCTCCATAATGTTTTTTGACATACACAGGGTTAAGTAGGAATCAACAGCACAATACACTAGTACTTCAGTGGATGCACACTCCTGTGCAGGGGCGGACTGACAACTCTTGGGGCCCCCGGGCAATAGGGGATCATGGGGCCCCTGTGTCCTTGCCCAAACTCAAAAAAGCCTATGAAAAAGGTACCAGGGGCATCTCATGGGGCCCCCTACTGACTTCGGGCCCTCGGGCAGTGCCTGAGTTTCCAAATGGTCAGTCCGCCCCTGCTCCTGTGCGTGGCAACATCTGCTGTCCAATCAGATGTCTGGTGGGCAGTCTTGAGTCTGGATGATGATGATGTTGCCTTCATGAGAGACTACATGTCGCACTTAGTAGTTTGAATTGGTAGTGTGCACTAATTAACACTGATGCTCCAAAGAGCATATGCAAATGTAGCATGATAACCCTATCCCTATGGATTGTGTGGGCACAATTTTTTCTGCAGGATTTCTCAGTGATACAAGGAAGACAGAGGGTGGCAGATTTTTGCAATGATGGTTTGGATACACTGTGAGGTGTTTGAGACCTTAAAGCCGAGGTGCATCCAAAACAAACAGCAGAAAAATCAGCACAGGGGACATAACCCACAGCAAGTTAGATCTGTCTATTGTGCTGATGCCTCTTCTCTTAGTTGAACTCCTCTGTCAACACCGGCTTTTATGAACTTCCAGTGCAACAGGGATTAATAAGACTAAGGGGCTGTCTCAGGCACTCATCAAGAGTGCCCGGCTATGCCTGACCTTTTCGCCCAGTTTCTCCATTCATAGAAGCAGTGCTACAACTAATATGAATGAAACATGATTTATGAAAGTAGGGGTGGACCTATCAATCATCTGCCTGTCCTAGAAACACATAAGGTACTCTTGTTTTATAGACTACAGGAGTCAGAAAAATAACTACCCAGAAACGATAGGGCCTTCTAATCACCAGGGAGCAAGGAGGTAAATATGGAGACATTACACTGTAACTCAATTAAAAAAATCAACATTTGTGAAAATAATGCTGCTGTGTTTCCCTGAAAATTAGACACTGTCTTATATTTTTTGGGGCTCAAAAAAAACACACTAGGTCTTATTTTTGGGGGTAGGTATTATTGTTTTTAATGTACAGGTGTGGACAGGGGATGCAGAGGTGAGCTGCAGGCAGTTGTGGATGAGGGTTACTATAGAGAGGGTTGGCTGATGACAGTTGTGAGCTGCAGTCAGGTGTTGCAGGGGTGACTTGACAGGTGAGATTCAGACAGGGTGCAGAGATAAGCTACAGACAAGGGGTGCAGAGGTGAGCTGCGGCCAGGGGGTGCAGAGGTGGGTTGCAAGTCAGCGGATCTCTGCACCCCCCAGCACTTCACAGCAAACATAAATACAGTATTGTGTAATGTTATTGTTTGCTCTCTGTTACTGGTTTTTCTGCCTGGAATAAAGATCAATGGAGTTCTGCTGGGATCATCCTCTACTGGCTACAGGATTAGAGAGAATATGAAGACTCTGCTTGTAGCACCTTCCGATTCATTGTGTAGCAGGTCTACACATCGTGCTGTCCAGAAGAAAGTATATGTCCAGCTCAGCAGATTAACTCTGAAGGAAGCAACAGCTGACTATGTCAGTCTCTGGACAAGCTACATGCTAGGACAGCCTTTCTCAACCAGGGTGCCCAGGTACCCTGGGGTGCCTTGGCAAAATGTCTAAAAATTTCCCAAATATTGTATACAAGCCAGTGGGTGGGCAGGCCTCACCTCTAATGTCGGGTGTCCTACAAGTGTGGATGTTGCTGCATTATAAAAACTATTCTAATAGATTCTTATATT